AGTAAATCCGAGCTTCAGCTATATTGTATTAAATTGAACCGCATAGCAGCCATTTTGTGCCTCTTGTAAAATAAACTTGATACTCGTCACTTGATTTTTTGAGGAAAACAAAGTTATTTAACATGTGTTCTTTAACTGAGCCATTAAAGCAGGGTATTTACTGGGTAAACAGTGATAAGGGATGAAATGGAAAAATCAATCAATATATTGATTATTTCTTTGTGTATCTGCCCCTGGCCAAATCAATGAAACAATGCGTGCACGCTCCCTGAAGTAATTCACACCAGACACAGGTTCCAGGTTGTTGAATAACTTGAGGAATGTTTATTCAGAGGGGACGGCAGGTCCCTTTTAAAGCAAAATTACATCATAAGCATTGTCAGAGATAACATGGAATAATACATCAATAATTGGTTAGGTGTTAAGTGGTTGCTCTAATGCTCTGCCTACTGTAGGTGATGTCACCGGGGCCATGAGGGTCTCCCACGGTTTCCCGGCGCCATCTTGCTGCACGAGGTAGTTAGTCGATGTTAAGAGGGGAAGGGGGGGGAGGAGGGGTTAGAAGCTTCTAGCAGCCATCTTGATTAAAATATGTGCGCTTAGCTTTTATATGTGATATATCGTGAAATGAGTAAATAGACATTTTCTCTAACTAGGAAATATGTGCACACCTTATTTCCACAACAAGGGATAGTTAGCTCTTGTCACAAGAAGCCTCACTTTGTTTCTTACAAACATACCTTTCCCTCTAATTTCCATCATTTGAAATTCATTCAATTCGCCTTTTCAAACTCTTCTCTGCTAACATTGCCGTTATTTATCGTCCCCCTGGTTTCCCTCTCCTCTTCCTTGACCACTTTGCTGCCTGGCTAACCTACTTCCTTTCTTCTAATAATCCATCCCTAATTCTTGGGGACTTCAATGTTCCCATTAACCCACCTTTGACCTCAGCAACCTCTAAACTACTTTCAATTACTTCTTCCCCCGGGCTATTGCAGTGGGCTAATTCTCCCACCCATGTAGCTGGCAATACCCTCAATGCCATTTTCTCTTATGCATGTACAGTATCTAATATCTGCAACACTCCATTTCCTCTCTCTGATCACCACCTCTTATCGCTTGCTCTCGATTACCCCCTCACCCAACAACCTCAGCCTAACCCCCCTCAACTCAGGAGGAACTTTAATTCTATTGACCTCCAGCAGCTGTCAGCTGATATTAATTCACAACTGCTATTCATCTCTTCCCTCTCCTGTCCCTCACTGGCCATCTCCACATATAACACTACCCTTACCTCTGCCTTTTTTATTGCTGCAGCCCCGCTCCAAACATGCACCTCGAGGAGGACACGCCCCCTACCGTGGCATACTAAATCAACACACTATCGGCAAAGTTGCTCCCTTTGTGCTGAACGCTCCTGGAGAAAGTCTCGCACCCAGCCAGACTTTCTCCATTATAGATTCATATTGTGTTCATACAGCGCAGCCCTTGCGCTCACCAATCAGTCATACTTTTCCTCTCTAACTAGTTCATGCTCACGCAATGCCAGGCGTCTCTTTGACACCTTTAATTTTCTTCTTCGTCCTGCTGTGGCCACCCCCCCAAAACTAACCTTACTGCTGATAACTTTGCATGTTACTTTACCGACAAGATTGAACAGCTAAGGAAAGAGTTCTCCCCACCTTGCCATTCTCTTTCTCAACCACACATAGATCATGCCTTTCCTATCTTTCAGACTTTCTCCCCAGCTACTGAACAAGAGGTGGCTGCACTGCTCCTTTCCTCTCGCCCCACCACTTGCCTGATCGACCCTGTCCCATCTCATCAGATCTCTCTCCCCTTGTCTTGTGCCTTCCTTAACACACATCTTCAACTGTTCTCTCTCTTCTGGCATTGTCCCTGCTGACCTTAACCCCTTAAGGACACATGACATGTGTGACATGTCATGATTCCCTTTTATTCCAGAAGTTTGGTCCTTAATGGGTTAAACATGCCAACATGCCACTGTAGTACCTATCCTGAAAAAAATATCTCTTAACCCGTCCCTGCTCCCTTTTTCCTCAAATCTTCTGGAAAGACTTGTCTTTACTCGTGTGTCTCGCTTCCTCAATTCCAACTCTCTCCTTGACCCTCTTCAATATGGCTTCAATATGGCTTCTGCCCTCTCCACTGTACTGAGACTGCTATTATCAAAGTTACTAACAATCTAATCATAGCTAAATCCAAACGCCACTACTCCATACTAATTCTTCTTGACCTCTCTGCTGCCTTTGACACCATTGATCATGCTCTCATTCTTCAAACTCTTTAATCACTTGGTCTCTGTGACTCTCTCCTCTCGTGGTTTTCTTCTTATCTCTCCCAATGCTCATCCAGTGTCTCCTTTTCCAAAGATACCTCCTCCCCTCATCCTGTCCCTCAAGGCTCTGTCCTTGGTCCCCTTCTATTTTCTCTTTATACTGCCTCTCTTGGCAGACGTATTGCCACTTGTGGATTCCACTACCACCTGTGCGCTGATGACACCCAGATACATCTCTCCACCTCGGACCTCTCCCCTGCCATCCTGCAATGTGTCACTGTAGAATCCTGTAGATTTCAACTTAAAAGCATAGCCTGCATCCACCCCATTCTTACGAAAGATGCTACCAAGGAGATTGTCCATGCTCTAGTAATTTTCTGCATGGGTTATTGTAACCCTCTCCTGATTGGTCTTCCCAAAAGCCGTATTGCCCTGCTACAGTCTGTAATGAATGTCAGCATCAGACTGATTTTCCTCTCTAGTTGGTCCTCTCACACCACACCCCTCTGTTAGTCCTTACATTGGCTTACTGTATCCTATAGGAGTCAATTCAAAGTGCTAACCCATACCTATAACGCACTGAACAATTCTAGCCCCTCTTATATCTCTTCATAGATCCATATGTATGTCCCTTCTCGGTCCCTCCGCTCTGCCCGTGACCTTCTCCTGTACACTGCTCGCACCCGCACGGTCAACTTCTGTGCTTGCAGATCCCTTCCTATGGAATAGCCAGCCTTCCTCCATCAGACTCTCCCCTAGTTTTCAATCATTTAAGAAGTGCCTTAAAACCCATCTCTTTGTCAAAGCTTATGACCTCCCAGAGTAACCTCTACCTCACATACCTGTCTCTTGCTCTCACCTAAAGGGCAGCACTCTACTCTCTCCTCTAGCTCTGCTTCACTCCCACCTTATGTGATTGATATTTCCTCTTCTAATGTGTTTTATAACCCACCTCCTATAGACTGTAAGCTCATTTGAGCAGGGTCTTCGTTAACCTATTATTCCTGAATGTTTTCTTGTAATTGTCCTATTTATAGTTAAATCCCCTCCCCACTCATAATATTGTAAAGTGCTACAGAATGTGTTGGCACTATATACATGGCAATAATAATAATAATACATAATGTAGACTGTTCTGGGGGAGGGAGGAGTTCCCTTAAAAATAATGCACCCATGTTAAATGTATATAATTCCAATGTTTTATGTACATCACAGAGAGCTCTGAACATAGGGCTAGATTGACCATTAGGCAGAGTAGGCCCCTGTCAACAATCACTTTTCCGCGAGAGGGCATCTGTTTTCAGCATTTATAAAAGGCCTTTTTGGAGCTTAAGTGGACTGATGGAGAGAGATAAGTACCAGTATCATTGACCAGTGTCTTCAGTAGTCCAGTCAACCTCTCTCAATTTCTTAATTGGCCTAAATGTTATATTGTTGGATAAACTTTCCAATTTATTGAATTTCCAAAATTCAGACTTGCTAGACTTCCATGGCTCCAATTGATAAAATTATGTCAAAGAGTTTAGAGGTCTTTCTTTTTTTTATTGCTTTGGTAATTAGCATTTTCACTGGTGGTATTTAATGAAGAACAATCCTTAGACAATGGCAGCCCCTGCTGTCCAAAGACTATTAGTTGTGAGTGTTTGATGATATAATGTAGTTATTAGTAGAGCACGCGCTCTATATTTAGACTCCCAAATATATATGCATGAAACCAAGAGTGCCACTCACCTGCAGAGAGTCTCGGTAAGGAAGCATTTCCCAAGTAAGTGGATTAATCTCATAACAGCAGGCTTTAGAATGTTAGAGTAGGACCTGCCAAGAATAGGGTACCTTGACGCTGTGGCAGGATTATGCAATGTATGATCATATACTTTAACTAAATCCTTTTTGCTTAAATTATGTGTTTTGTAAATAAAACTATTACCTTCTATGAAACCTGAAACTGCCGTTTAGTAAGTGAGCTAAATTTTGCATGTTCTATGAATTGGCTCCAGCAGCACCCTATAATGTATGTATGCTCAGGTTAGTGCAGCCCTCTTATCATGTATTCAGGGTTTATTCAATGACTCTATTGGGAATCTCCATCATGTATAAAATATCCATCAAACAGTATCCTTTACAATGCAAGAAAAGGAAGTTTCATCATAAGACATTTTGTTTTACTCATGGTAATTAAAAAGTAGAACATACTATTATGTAGCAAATGTATAATTGCTTTACATTGATGGGTAGAGTGGGAAGTATCATTGGGATCAATTTCTAGATAAAGGTTTAAAGTAATAAAACTGGGCCAATCACATTGGAAGCCAGTGGAATCCGTAAAGATATTTTGCACCACTTCTAAAAACAGAACAATTTATTAACCTCCCTCTTTATATTTTATTTTAATTATTTATATTTTTTGGAGTATTTGCCAACAAATATGAGTATTATTTGTAGTAATCTACAAAACAGATAAATGCCATTTGAGTGAGAAGAAGAGGTATCATGTTTTCCAATTCCATGCAGGAGCCCGAATTCCAATGATATACATGTCTTGGCTTATCAAACTTTGGTGGGAGTTACACAACTAGCAACAACTATTATTTATTATCAGACTCTCTCAGCAAACCAATATGCCTGGAGAGGAGCTGAGGAGACAGAGAAAGTGCATTTGTCTCTTCAGCTCCTCTCTGGATATTTCAGAATCAGCAGAGAGGCTCAATTACTCATCGCAGTCACAAATTAGTCCATCATATTGAGGAAATTAAATAAGCAGTTCAACTTCGGAAAATTTTACATTGGTTGCATTTATTATTTAATTATTTTGTGGTAATTGCAATTATTTATTTTTTTCACCAAAACACAAATCATTTTGATAATCAGTAACTACAAGTTTGTTTTGGTTATGACAAACCTTATTAGAATAGGTTATTTCTTTTTTTAAATTTTTTTAAGTTAAGTGCAAGTAAAGGTAGTTGTTTGGACTGCCTCCATGCCGGTTGCCAAACCAAATAGTTCTTTACATAAAAACGTTTCCAAACATCCTTTCTCAGAACTGTGTATTTCATTGCCAACTGTAAAGATGAAATGAAACAGAAATCAAATAAAGAAAACGCACAATGTTTAAACACTGTATAATATGGTTCATAGATAACTGAATTTACATTTACAAAGATAATTTATATATTATCTGTAAAATATTAAAAAGTATTAAAATCTAGACAGAATTTTTATTTGGCACTGTTGTTGTCACATATCCCACTATACCTTGCATTGATCATTTTTAAATCTGTTGTCTTTTATGAAAAGTTAATAAAATATTTCACTAAGCATGTATTTTGGACTCTCATGAACTGGAAAATACAATTTTCAAAACATTAAATACTAAATAGTGGTCAGGCTCGGTGGAGGTGGCTTTGACTTTAATGTAGAAAGTCAACGCCTGTGTCGGAATGTTTTAGTTGCAAACATCTGCTAGTGTTTTAAGTGATATTATTGATAAAATATTGAACCTGGCAGAGCTTTGCTGTCAGCCATCTTGCTACTATCAGTAATTTTATAGCATATAACCAAAAGAGTACAAACTCATTTTTAAAAGACTTATTTTTCTTTTTCTAAACTATGCTGTACTACTTTGTAACAATGTTTTCCCCCTTATAGTCGTGTTAGCGATAATAAAAGGATGTGGTTGCAGGCCTAGGGATGGGTGCCGATGTGTTGTTTTGATGTAAGTTGAGTATGTTGAGTCTCAGGAGGGGAAAGATATTGAAGAATGAGCAAACCAGGTTAATTTGGAATTGCTTGGTTCAAAAGTCTAGAATAGACCGTAAAACCTAAACTTACATTATAAGAACAATGACCATATTAGGAGGTATTCTAGATGGTCTTTGTTCCATTTTCCCCACGTATGAAAATCCTTGCTTTTATTACCATATAAGATAACATAAAATAGGTCCAGACACTCAGGATTGCTGCAGGAAGGCATATTTGTTGTGATAAAAACTGCAACATTTCGACCTAGACAGATGCCTTTATCAAGCAATCGGAGCCTATTGCGAATGCACGGCAAAACACAGCTCTGGTCAATCAGCATATCATCACAGAGATGCATTGACTTAATGCATCTATGTGAGAAAGTTCAGTGTCTCCATGCAAAGTGTGGAGATGCTAAACGTCAGTGCTCCACCCAGGTAGCACCTGAGTGATTGCACCCACAGATGTTCCTAGGTAGCAATGTAAACACTTAAACCTTACTTAAAGGGACACTTCAGACCTCTAAGCACTTTAGCTAGCTGAAATCCTTGGTGTGTGTAAACTTTTTTTTTTTTAACAAAATGTGCAGATATAAATTGGCACTTTTATAAATCAACATTGTTACCACTCTCTTGCAGCCAATCAGACAACTGGTTCTTGACACTTCCTAGTTTGTTTAGCTCAGTGGAGCTAAAATCAAGAGGCAGCAATTGCTCAGAGCACCTGCCTTCCAAAGACTTCTCACGTAGCTGCACTGGGAAGGCTGTAATTGGACAGCCACGAAGTTTGAGCTGGATTAGGGAGGGCAGGGGACTTGAAAAAGCTGCAGGCAAAAGATATTCAGCTTTTGTGTGCTGTTTTTAGCTATACCTCCGATGGAAAATAATGCATAACTAAATGCAGGCATGTTTTTAACAGTGATTTTTTTTTTTTTTTTAATTAGGCAGTACTGTGTCCCTTTAACTTTTCATTCTCCATGTTTCCCCATTTCTGTTAACAAATGTGCTTTTTTTTCATATTCTGTTCCAATGCAAGTTACATATTCCTTTAAAGTGTTTCTCCTTAATATGTATTTACTCCATTTATCTTTCCCTCTGTTTATGTTTCTTTTTTCACTCTCTTTTCATATTCTGTTCATCCTGTTTGTAGGGATGTTCAAAGCTTGTAGGGATGTTCAGCTTACAGTTACTTACTGTGTTACTATTATATGAAGCATATTATTTAACACGTGTTATTTTATTTCTGTATTTTGTTTTGGATTTTATATTCTTTATTCCTCCTTTTGTTTATATAAACCAAATAATAAAAAAAAGTGTTGGAAATTTTCTTATTCTGTGATCGTTAGATTACCAGAGATGGACCTCTGGATCTGTCCCACCCTACACTTCTCTGCGCAAATACAGATTCTGGTGAATACAAGCAGAAATGCAGTACATAGATCTGTTCTATCTTATATCTAACAAGCATTATAAAAATAGGTAATTGAAGCTTGTTCAATTACATTTGTTACACACTGAAATCTACATAAATTACCTTCGTCACGCCAGGTACCCACATAAGTGTAGCACAGGTCATCTTTCCCCCTGCACACCATGTCAGTTTCTGGAACACATTCCTCGTTCGAGTTCAATTTCACGCAGGTTGGACAAGTTTTTCCTTCAAATTTTTCATTCTCCTCTGGAACTGTGATTAAGAAGAAATAATAAAATACAATTATTTAAAACTCGCTACAGCTTGTTCTTTACAAACTGCAAAGTAGCAAAGAAGCTTTGTACTTTGTATTTTCTGACAGATGTTTGCGCCTCCATAATTATATCAAGTAACTAAAACTACTGTGTGAATATTCTGCCTCACTCCTTAAGGCAAGCTAAGGGTGGTGTCATAGGCGTGTGCAGCCTATTGCATTAGGGTGTGCACCCTAAAGCACAAACACACGCCGCATGTATATGTATGTATGTATGTATGCATATATACATATATATATATATATATATATATATATATATACACACGCACATATATACACACACACTGTTGTGTGTGTGTGTGTGCGCTGTGTGAGGGTGGTGTGAGGGTGCTGTGTGTGTAAGGGTGCTGTGTGTGTGTGAGGGTGCTGTGTGTGAGGGTGCTGGTAGTGTGCTATGTGGGTGAGGGTGTTTGTGTGTTTGTGAGGGGGCTGTTAGTGTGCTGTGTGTGAGGGTGCTGTGTATGAGGGTGCTGTTTGTGTGCGTGTTTGCTGTTAGTGTACTGTGTGTGTGTGCAGGGACGTATTAGCCGCGAGGCAAACAAGGCATTTGCCTTGGGCGGCATTTTTCAGGGGGCGGCAAAAAACGCCGCCCCCCAAATGCCCAGGGCAAATGCCTAGTTAGCCTTGCGGCTAACTGACATCCCAGGCGGTCGGGCGGCTGGCGAGGGAGCACTTCCTATGAGCTGTCTGCTCAGCTCCCTCGCGCGCCGCACAGTGAGGCTGGGAGCCGGAAGATGACGTCATCTTCCGGCTCCCAGCCTCACTCTGCAGCCAGCGCGAGGGAGCTGAGCAGACAGCTCATAGGAAGAGCTCCCTCGCCAGCCGCCCGCCTGCCAGCGCCGCCCGCCCGACCGGCAGCCACTGGACCACCAGGGAGAGAGAGACCTCCCCCCCAGCACTCCCAAAGGTAAGGAGGTTGGGGGGGGATTTAAATAAAAAAAAAAAGTTAATCTGTGTGTGTGTCTGACTGTGTGTGACTGACTGTGTTTGTGTATGTGTGTGTGTGTGTCTGACTGTGTCTGTGTATGTGTCTGACTGTCTGTGTATGTGTCTGACTGTGTGTGTTTGTGTCTGACTGTGTGTGTGTTTGTGTCTGTGCGTCTGTGTGAGTGTGTGTGTGTGTGTGTCTGACTGAGTGTGTGTGTGTCTGACTGTGTATGTGTGTGTGTGTCTGACTGTGTATGTGTGTGTGTATGTGTCTGACTGTGTGTGTGTGTGTTTGTGCCTGACTTTGTGTGTGTATGTGTGTGTGTTTGTGCCTGACTGTGTCTGTGTATGTGTGTGTGTATGACTGTGTGTGTGTTTGTGTTTGTGTCTGTCTATGTGTGTGTTTGTGTCTGACTGTGTGTGTGTGTGTGAGTGTGTGTGTGTGTATGTGTCTGACTGTGTGTGTGTATGTGTCTGACTGTGTGTGTGTGTGTGTGTATGTGTATTTAGAAGGTGGGGCGGGGGGAAGGGTTGGGTGGGGGTGGCGCGGGGAGAGGGGGGTGCCTGAGTTTTGTCCTGCCTAGGGCAGCACAAAACCAGGATACACCACTGTGTGTGTGAGGGTGGTGTGTGTGTGTGTGTGTGTGTGATGGTGCTGTATGTGTGTGGGTGCTGTATGTGTGTAAGTGCTGTGTGTGTGGGGGGGCTGTTTGTGTGAGGGTGCTGTATGTGTGTAGGTGATGTTTGTGTGCTGTATGTGTGTGGGTGCTGTGTGTGTGAGGGTGCTGTATGTGTGTAGATGCTGTGTGTGTGGGTGCTGTTTGTGTGCTGTGTGTGTGTGGATGCTGTTTGTGTTCTGTATGTGTGTGTGTGGATGCTGTTTGTGTGCTGTATGTGTGTGGATGCTGTGTGTGTGGATGTTGTTTGTGTGGGTGCTGTTTGTGTGCTGTATCTGTGTGGGTGCTGTGTGTGTGAGGGTGCTGTATGTGTGTAAATGCTGTATGTGTGTGTGTGCTGTGTGTGTGTGTGTGTGCTGTATGTTTGGGGGATTGTGTGTATAGTGGGGGCTGTTTAGTAAATATCCCCCCTCTCTTCTTACCTTATGTAGGGAGGGGGGATTCTTGTTGCTGCTGCCATCCCTGGTGGTCCAGTGGAGAGTGAACTCTACACTGCGGGGCTAGAGTTCACTCTCGCGAGATCTGAGCATTGTCGTGGCAACACTCAGATCTCACGAGAGAAACCCGGCGGAGCTGCTGGCTGGAGCTCCCTGGGTCCTCTCCTGCCTCCCTCCCTGCAGCTGTGAGCCAGTGAGGGAGATCTTTGATCTCCCCACCGGCCCATGGAGTCTTAAAGCATGAGCCGACAGGGGAGATCCTGAGATCTCCCCTGCCGGTCTAAATCCATAGGCGTGTCGCAGGATTAGGCACACCCGGCACACCCTGTGCACAAGCTTTTGGGTGGTGTAAACAAATGATAGAATATAGAATAGTGTTCTGGTGCAAAATAAATACATACACAAAAGGTAACACTTGCTAAATAGTGTAAAATACTGTTAGATCTCATAATTGATTTTAGAAACAAATTCCAGAAAAGCTGCAGAGACACTTTGATAAATATCCCCCATTGCTTTTGTCTAGTCCAATGCAATTTGTGTCCTGTCCAGGACCAGATTTACATGTCAGAAGCCTGTAGGAACATGATTATAAGGTGCCCCCTGCTCCTCAACCCAAAAAAGAAGACATATAAAAATATAATTACTGGATATTGCAGGCCGAAAAACATCTTAAAAAAACATATTCATATTTGGCAACTGCTTATGTATATAAATATGTAAATCCATATTTCTACATGTAATGTATTGTGTTTGAACTTGGGAGTATAGTGAGTGTGTGTAGCAGTGTAAATGCATGCAGAATTACCGATAATGGTAGAAGTGGTTAAGGTTGGAGAGTGTTTAACATAAGTGTGAGATTCCATAGGGTGTTTAGAGTTAATAGGATTAAGAGCTTTAAGTTGTTAAAAGTTGTAGCATAAGGGCTGTTTAGGATTGAGTTTAGAGTTAGGTGAAATGAGGTGTTAAGTTTTTAAGGTAAACAGTTTATTTTCATGTGCAGTTTGAAGCAGGGAGGATCCAGAATATAATCTTGGGAGGGGCACTGGTAGGAACAATCCAGGCACAATAGGCATTACAGCTTTCTGTAGTGGTTATTGTGCCAGGAGTGCCAAGTTTAACAACTTACCTGGGGTCTCCCAGGATCAGGTCTGTAGTAAGGGATAGAGGTAGTAGTATGTGTGTGTGTGGGGTGCATTGTGTGTTTGTGAAGGGCGGAGTGCATGTGTGAGGGGTGCAGTGTATGTGTTTTTGTGAAGGGCAGTGTGTCTGTGGGGGTCAGTGTGTGTGAGTTTTACAGTGTCTGTGTGAGGGATTAAATGTGTGTCAGGGGGACAGTGTACATGAAGGGTACAGTGTGTGTGAGGGGTACAGTGTGTGTGTGAGGGGTGCAGTGTGAAAGTTACAGTGTGTGTGTGAAGGGTGCAGTGTGTGAGTATGGGGGCAGTGTGTGTGTGAGGGGGCAGTGTGTGAGGGCTGCAATGTGTGTGTGTGTAAGGGGTGCATTGTGTGTGGGTGTGGATGTGTCTGTGTATATGAGGGGTTCAGTATGTGTAAGGGTGTGAATGTGCAGGCAGATTAAAGCAAATATATCTATTATTTTTTTCAATTGAAAATAAATATACTTTATATCCCCCCATCCCTTATTACCTTTGACTATGAGATTTCCTGTAATCCCTGGTGGTCTGGTGGGGAGTGAACTATAGCCTGCAGCTGCAGCTCTGAGGCTACAGTTCACCCTCGTGAGATCGGATAGTTGTCATGGTAACTGTGGCAATGATCCAAGCTTGCAAGGAGAGGACCGGCAAGAGCTCCCCTGCGCCCTCTCTCCATCCCCTACTCCATTTTAGTGCCAGCAGGTGAGGGAGATCATAAAAAAGGCATACAACAGGGTTCTGGCCCTGCATAAACTGGTAAGAAATATGGAGAGCCTCTGCTCTTCACTATTTTCTTGGGAAGTGGGAGAAAGATAATGGCGCTGAAGGGGGACAGCTTAGGGTACGTAAAGACCATATCGGCTCTGCCTCCCTCTCGCCCACCTACAAATTATTGAATAAGTCTTGTAGGTTTCGAAATAGAAAGTATAAGTATATAATATATATATAACATAATGTTTAAAAGTAACACTTTGAAAAAAAATGAAGGACACTCACTCTCATGACCAAAGGTGTTGCAGTTGTCCCCATCACAGCATTTAATATTCATTGAATATGTAGAAGAATTAGCACCGCCAATATCAAGATAACCCACATAATCACAGGGTATATTTTCAGTAACACATCCCTTGGTAATGGAACTGGAATCTTCACCAACTGCAGGAATAAATTAGGATATTTGTCTTTCAATGCCTATATTTATTTAAATACAAATTGTTTACAGCAGAATACATTTATATCTTGGACTTGTTACATAAACATCATTGCATTACAAATAAAATAATTTCTAGACATTGTGTTGATATTTTTCCAGCATCTGTGATGCAGCACTTTCCTGGGATAAATTGGATCTGTCAGATATTTTTTTGGCTCTTTCTTAGGTGCTTCCCCCATTACCCCTCTCTGTTAGCTGTACCTTAAAGTCAAGGTTCCATTCTAGATTATTCTTCTCCATCCACACATTTGCTTTAGGCAAACTAATTATTTAAATGTTAATATCATACGTATGAGGACAACACCCTTACCAACATGCCCTTCACAGTCACTCTGCCTTTATCTAACCAAAATCCCATTACAGAATCCAAGCTCAGTGTAAAAAATGCTGCATATAATTACCATATCCCCGTCAATTTTTGAAGTTCCTCTTAGTAGATCATGTCATAATTACACCAACTATCCAAGCATGATTGCTTAGTTTTATTATTTAGCAACATCCTTCGTCACCACATTAAATCACTTGTAGAATCTTGTTACTTTCCCTAAAAAGAACATCTCTGCTTTCTCTCCATTCTTAGAAGGTTACTCCGAGCACCATGGATACATCAGTATTATAAAGTGGTTATGGTGCTTGGGCACTGTTTGTGAGAAGTAGACCCTACAATGCTGGAGAATATGAGCACTGACATTTAGATCTACCGAGTGTTCAAAAGCACATGGACAGCTGATTTCTCGTGTCCTTACACAGGTTGGTATTGGCTATTATTGGTACATGCCATCATTATCATTACTTTATAAAGCTTTTGAGTTCAACATATATTTTGTACTTACGGTAATGCAGAAAATTGGATCTCACAAAGCATTTGCGATCCCCATCGCAAGTCACAGGTTTTCCCTCACATGTTTTACCATTTACGTTGGTGCACTGGAGACAAGTTGTGCTACAAACTGAAAGATTAAGATGTGAGCTATTTACACAGGCTGTTTTAAAACGTTCTAAAAGGGTCAGACTAAGCACTCTAACAATTCTTTTTTAAAATGTTTAGTTCCATTGATTGATATATATGTATTTTTTGTTTTTTCCAATAGTCACAGGAAAAGCAAATTTACTTAGAAAGATGTAATATTTCCATTTCACAATGTAAAAAATGAAAGAATGAATAATTTAAGGTAACAAAGTTAAATACTAAAATGGTTACGTTGTATCAAAAAGAAAAAATATTGCTCTGGAAACAATTATTTAGTTAAAGAGATTACATGGAATCATTACTTTTTTTTATTTTTTGTTTAGTTTTTTTGGAGATAATGCAACTTCTTGTATTTTCCTGCCAAGACCTAGCTTTACTAAGGATTCCCATTCATGTGTAGGTTACCGAATATATAACAGTTGTTGAGCTGTTGATCTTCTGAGAGGCTGTTACCCCCCTCGTACTAGCGTTTTGACTTACAGTATGAGTTGACATGTTTAAAAAGGTGGATCTTATAGCTGACCCTATATCTATGGTTGCCTTTCTGTTAGCAATCTACATTTTATCTATATTTAATATGCATGTTGAATCTGTGATGCAAATGTAGCAACATATGCTGAATTTTTGTTGTACTATTATGTTACAAAAAAAAAACTACAATTTGAAAAAAAATTTAATGGAATTTTGTATTAAATTTAATATATTAGTAGGAGAGGTACCTTGTATGGGTAGGTGGGGATTTAATGCTGTATTAAATCTGATTTTAGATCATCCCTCTACTAGCATTCCTAACTGACTTGATTAGAATACTGAGCTATTTAAAAGAATAACCTTTAATCAATCTCTACTGGATACCTGGAGATTACACATTTTTACTTACATCCCCACAATAGCTACGCTCATAACAATTATCTATTTTTTATATGGCAGCACTGTATATATTGTGCGTAATACTGTAAGATACCTATAAAACCTTGGTCTGATCAGCAGTTATAATTAGCTGTTTAAGTTTACACAGCAATTTCTCAGGCCTCAGTGGTTGCTGCAAGACTCAATGCGGTATATACAATGAGGTATTTAGGGTAATCAACTTATATTTTGATATAGTTGGCTTATCACAGATGACAGTATGGACAGTGTGTAAGGCTTATATCAGAGGTGAAGACAAAGAATATGAGAATATTATATTAGAGGTGTCCTGATTGCTATATCTTCTAAATGTCTAAAAGAAAATCTAGAGAAAGAAAAATAATTGATTGACAGACTCTGCTCCCATGAGTCAGAGCATAAAATATCTCTTGATTGAGGGGCCGAGCCAACTACAGAGCTAAATGGCCACACTCTGAGAGAGCTCCGTAGCACCGAGCAGTTAATCAGCAATCATCGGTCTCTCACTCCACGATAGGACACCCTAAATGATCCCTGTTGTCCCACCAGACATAAAAAAAAACAGCCCGCTGGAAAATCGTGCGCCCTTAGTACGTTTTTCCGCTATAATGCAGACTTCCATGTGGGCGCGCAAGGCCCCAATATGGTGCTTGAATCCTCCAACAATGGCTCGGTTTTTATTCAGCCCAGAGGGCACAGAAGCCTCACTGTTTACAGCCGATACTGACCTGAAGGCAATCATCAGAAGCTTGCCTCTGAAGTGGGTCCTGGCTGCAATGCTAAGTTAGCTGGAAGTGTCCTTCCAAACAAAATTAAAGACCATATGACCTGTTGTGGCGGAACCAACCTCGCCACTATGCACTGGAGAAGCCTGGTTGCCAGCCTCCTGCCATGTGACTATGGCCCCTGGGATGTATTGCCCTTTAAAGACATGATTTGGGCATAATGGATTTGTGTTGTGCTGCTGCTGGCCCTTTTAAGAACCATCTGGGGACATACTGTGGAGTTACTGGGTGGCCACCATTTCCTGTATCAGAAGCACATGGTGAGAACAATGGATGGCGGCCATTTTAACTCACAGACACTGTTTGGACTTTTCAACACGGTGCCATCTCGCCAGTATTTGTTGCACAGAGACATCGTGCGGTGGTTTTGGACTATACAGCAGGGGACACATTATACAGTGATTGTTTTTATTTAGCCTGTATATGTTCTGCAGAATCTGCATTAAACTGTATTTTCCAAAGTACTGAACGGATCTGGGTGAATTTTGGATATGTGGTTCACCCAGATCCCCCAGTTCCAAGGATATACTTTTTATGGGGTTATTGCATGTTTTGGGGTCCCTGTGATGTGTTTTATGAAACTGTATTTCTCTGGCTGTGATAATTAGATTACCCATTGTGTTCAGTAATCATATCACAGCCAGAGGGGAGGATTTTGTGTGGGAGTGTCTGGGTGTATTTTATGGATTGATTGGCTGTTTTGTAACGCCCTGTGGGCTGTACTATGTTTGTGGATTGGGAATAAAAGAGACTGTATGTGACAGTACAGAGAGTTCCTGTTTTAACCCTCAAAGTGAAGTGTCGTCTCATTATTGGGGGAAGGATTTATTGTATGCTGTTCCAGTTTGACTGCTAGGAGAGTAAACCTATTTGTATGGTTCCTATTCAACTGTCTACAGCATTCATATGCTTGAGAGAAGGTATACGCTTCTCTGGTTCGGTGATTGTGGTGTCGGCTGCAGTGCTTGGAGTCCTCAGGAAGCGCTAGGAGCATCTTTCAACGGAGGTACCCAGTCGGGGTGCCAGGCGATCCGTTACAGCTGTCATCCGCCATGTTGGGGACAGGGTGAATACCCTTGAGGGTGACAGATCTATTGTGCTCTCAAATCCAGCAACTACAAGCGACAGTAGAGGCAAAAACCTCCCAAATCTTCACTATGCATAGGCTGATAGATGACAGGGGGAGACGTAACAACCGCCACATTAAAGGTATGCCAGAACAGGACTAATTTGATTTAACTGTTACTCTTCAAGAATTATTTAATTTGATTTTAAACAGACCAACCGTTGACACCCCAGTGCTACTAGACAGAGCACATAGAGCCCTGGGCCCTTGCCGTGTCCCTACAGTACAACCTAAAGATGTAATATCCAGAATTCACTATTTTACACTAAAAGAAGGTATCCTGCTCATACTGCATCAATCCTCCCAGCCTCTCCTGTACCACAACAACCCAAATTTAAATCTATTCAGACCTATCCTGGATAGGTCTTCAAGCTAGATGTGTACTGCATCCCTGACTGACCTTCTCACATCCAGCTACTGGTGGGGATACCCCTTTGCGTTGCTAGTGACTTATAAAGGAAAACCACAAGTACTCCATACAGAGAATGACTTTGCTTCTTTCACTCAAGCACTGGATATCCCAGATGTCCATATTTAGGATTGGTATGGTCTGGTGCAAACCCCACTCTCCATGCAATTACCACAGCATCAACAGTGGCAATCTACAGCCAAGAAAAGAAGGAATGAACATAGCGACACATATTCTGGATCACCCTCCCCCAAAAGCACTCCAAACCACCATTAACCTTCTCCCCTACTCTGCTGATCAGGAACTCATGGATTACAATTATTTATATTGACCCACAAAGGAATTTGTGTCTGCCCTTACTCCTTTTACCATATTGTACCCAAGTGTACCCTCTTTGGAAATGTTACACACCATTGTTGAAATTGCTGTGCCTCACATTTTTCCAACTTCAGAAATGTGTTAACCTAGCCTCCAGACACAACTCATGATGACAATTCACTTACTGTCTGATCCACAAGTCCACTACCACAAATATTAACTTTGGTATTCAAACCTACCTCTTGCTCTATATTTCACATGGTAATCTGGAGTACAACTCTCTGCCACATCAGGATGAGCAAGAAGGTTATTTTATTGTTTGTCTCCAATGTTTATACTGACATGTGCTTAGATTATAACTGGGAACTGTTAGGACTCTGCCTATGCACCCTCCTTCTGCCCTCCATTCCCCTTCTTTATTTCCTACAGCCTGTGCTTTACTTCATACCCATATCTTCCCACCTGCTCTCCCTCATACTACTCTTGACTGGCCCCACATATCCTAGGATTGCAGTCATGTGGAATTCCACCATATGCCGATATGACTTGGATGGGGGTATTCACTACACTATTTGTTGTTAGACGGTGTTACGGTTCTCTTTTATCTCACACAAAAAAAACCCCAAAAAACTAAACAGCTTGGTTTTGACTGAGGTGGAAAATAGGTGAGCTTACCCAGCCTTGCTGGCATTAAAATTTACTGACCCTTGAGTCATTTCAGATTAACCATTTACTAATTCCATTATGTAATTCCTAATACTGGTAAAACCTTAGTTACTCCATTCACATCAGAGGGAGGAAAAAAGGGGGGGATTCTGATCAGCAAATACTCATCCCTCATATTGACCACAGACTACTGATAACTGTTTTAAGCCCACTACATTGTTATCTATGTTCCATTTCCTACTCCTGATGGCTCCAGATAATTTCTTATATACTAGGGTAGAACATTCTGTCCTTACTAACATCAATCCTCCTTCTTAATTCCTTAACCAATTCCTTTGCCTTTTAGGCATACATGACAGTGTAACATTATTAGGATAATTTATCAGTGGATTATTACCTCCCCTAGGGGATAGTTACCATCGAGATTGGTGATTTCTAACTGATTTCTGTGTTCTTACAGTTTTATTTTTGTTGTATTTATTTTCATTGTATATAGTTTGTTTTTGCTTTGCGTGTGGGGTTGGACCAGGGCTTCTCTGCTCTGCAGTTGCGTTGTTATGGCTACCCTCCATGTGGTCACCCTAAATGCTAAGCGCTAGGCTTTTAAACTCAATTAACTTATTTGACACTTGGCATATCACACACCCTCAGTCCAGAGACCACTCCTTTTATTCCACAGCAACGGGAACCTACACCAGAATAGACTTGCTATTTTTACCACATAGATTCCTACACTTAATTCTCTCCTGTGAATACGGATCAGTTACATGGTCTAATCACTCACCCCTGTCTTTTGTGATTCAGACACCCTTCCTACCAATAGAAACTCCTACATAGAAACTTAATGAACCTTTTCTAAACAACCCAGACAAAGTATCTCAGTTTACCAAATCTCTCCAACAATACTTCAAAGAAAATACTCACCCATCAATATCACCCACAATCACCTGGGAAGCACACAAATGCGTTATTCAAGGGGAACTTATTGCCTTTCGCTTCAAGGCTCAAAAAACATGACAAACATGTTAATTCACTTACAACTAGAAAACTTCAATAAGAGGCACAACTCCTTCGATCTACACAAACAATTAACAGGGAAAAGGTCAGAGCTTCAACAACTTTTGAACGCACAATTCTTACGTCGGTTAATCTTGCTGCAATACTCATACTATGCTCATGGTAGTAAATGTGGCCACTTATTAGCAAAACCTCTGCAGAACACTAGGCAATCAATCTATATCATGAATATCTAAAAACCCATGGAGAATCTTCTCAATTAACACAAGATAATCTGGTAGCCTTTCATAATGCTTTACCAACTTTGACAATATTCGCAACACACCACCCATACAACAGGGTATAGAACATTTCCTCTCTACCAGAATAAAACACACCATCCCTAGAAACATTCTTCCAACTTTTGACTCCTAAACTCACAAAGGAGTTTGAGACAATTGTTACAGGCCTGCCACTTGGTAAAAGCCCTGCCCCAGACAGCTTCACAGGCAAATACTTTTAAACATTCTTACTAACCCTCACTGATCCTTTTCTGAATGCCTTCAATTCTCTAACTACCTTTACTACTCTCCCAGAATCGGCCTTGGAAGCCCACTTTTTCTCTCATACCCAAAGCTGGGAAAGACTTAACTGCGGAAGCTATTGCCCCTATCTCCCTCATAAACATAGACTTACATTTTTTTACAAAGATACTAGCTAACCATCTCTGACCTCTATTGCAAGTCTTAGTAGAGCCTGACTGTAACAGATCACCTGGCACCCCGACTGGGTACCTCCGTTGATGGTTGCTCCTAGTGCTTCCCGAGGGCTCCAAGCACTCCACTTGACACCATAAGCACTGCAGACCCCACGAACCGCCTCAGCTTGGTTGGGCTCTCGCTGCCTCCTACAACAAGGCTCCAGGCTCCAGTGGGTGAACCTCTCTTCCTTCAGAGGGCGAAGCAGGAACAAGCTCTTAAAAGAACTTAGTGATTATAGCCAGTGGAGTATACTGCGTATAGCAATCTCCAGTGTAGATGTAGCCTTTTCCCCCACACACATGAGACGAGGCTCTATGTTGAGGGTAAAACAGGAACGCAGCAGTCTGATGCTTTCCTATGGGGAGCTCTAATGCGCATGCGTGGCATTGCCGCGCAAGCGCATTAGGTCTCCCCAGCCGGTGGGCGGGATCAGTCTCACCCACCGGCCGACGTAATGCAGAGGAGGAGCGGGGGGTGGTTTCGGGTCACTGCCGCACCTCCTTTGCATTACATCACCGGCTGGGCCGCGCCGGCATGTGCCTTAGGTCTCCCCGGCCGGTGGGCGGGATCAGTCTCACTCACTGGCCGATGTAATGCAGAAGAGGAGCGGCGGTGGTTTCTGGTCACCGCCGCTCCTCCTCTGCATTACATCACCGGCCGGGGAGACCTAATGCGCATGCATTTCCTCTCTACCAGAATAAAACACACAATCCTTAGAAACATTCTTCCAACTTTTGACTCCCCTAAACTCACAAAGGAGTTTGAGACAATTGTGACAGGCCTGCTGAAGAGCAACTGGGGATTGGGAGGTGGCAGGGAGAGGGGACCTGCAGTGCCAGGAAAATGGATTGTTTTCCTGGCACTGGAGAGTCCCTTTAAATTAATCCCTGGAGGTTCTCTGTGTGGATCTTGTGGTCTGCAACTTCTATGGGTGCAGACCACTTGTACGGCTGTCTCCGTTCTGAGCTTTTCCTGAGACGTAGCTCTGCAATGCTCTGAATCATGGAGAAGCACCACATTGTGAGGTAGAGTTACCTGTGTTGTCTGCACCTGCTGGAGGTACACACCACAACAGGCTTCCTTAATGTATGGGCACTGGGGTGCTATGGGTGAGTTAGAGAGATCACCTGATCTCTCCAACTGGTCTGGCAGGCTTGCCTGCCATACAAAGGCGTCTAGTTCCATAGGTTGCTGATTCCTTTGCCTTGTTACAATAAAGCAAGTGTAGTGTTTCTTCATATCTCAGTATGTTCAGTGAGGAACAGAAATTAAAATGGGCTACCTGTGTTACGTATGTGTGGTTGCTGTTTTTGCGGTATTCATGTATGTGGGGATGTCTGTGGTGTTACGTTTATGTATGTGGACTATTTGTGGTATTTTGATAAAAGATCTTACCTGCTGTAGGTACAGCTAGAAATAGGCATAGAATCACTGCTAAAGAGGTCATTCTCATAGCCTTGATAACCTTTGTATGATAACTTGGTCAGTATGGTCCAGATATGGAAATTAGGTGATTTAATTGGAAAAGGCAAAACTCCAATCGAAAGCTGGAATACAAAGAGTGGAACAAAAAGTGTGCAACTAACATGCAATATATACAAATCTTTGATAGCATATAGTTAAGAGGAGTTTCAGTTTAAAAAAATATTCCTACAATCTTTCTTCTCCTATCCTCTACCCCTTATTCTTCATAATGTCCTTTATATTTTTTATCTGTTATGTTTTTAACTTTAACATTTACTTTTTCTTTCTAACACCGTTACAGACCTTAATAATATTCTCTTCAATTATTCTTTAAAGCTGCGTCTCTGTTTACTCCTGGACAAGTTGGTAGGTGGAGCATAACTGGTGCCCATGGATTGTTAGCTAGATTAAAAAGTGTTGCACATTTTTATGGGTTTAAGGAGATATGGGGAGAGGAGATTCACCAGTCGTCAGGAACAGTTGAGGGAACCCGACTGAATTTCTCATCCTCCCACCCTAGTTCTGGGAAACTTGTTTTTTGACATTTTGTTGTTTGTTTCTTGTGCTGGAGAACTGTCTGCTGGGCAACCGCCCAACAGCTGACAGGGCTATGGATAATTTTAAAATGATTTATTTTTAATAAAGCTTTGTCCGTTGCCCTTATCCACTGTAGAATGGGCCCCATGGCTTATTCTGGGGCAACGGTGGGGATGTAGAGATGGTGCAGCAGTCATGTATTTTCACCTTTATCTCTCCCTTTCTCTGTTTATATGTTTCCTTTTGTGTACAAGTGTGTGTCTTGCACGTGCTCTACCCCTAATATATACAAAGGAGGTTCATCTTAGTTCTGTATTTATCTGTTAACCCTGTCACTTTTCTTTCCTGTATATTGTACCTAGGGTTCTTGGCATCTGGGAAGGAAATATATGTTGGCATCCGAACTTAATTTTTTGTGTGTCTCACTGCACCCTTCAATCCTCTTTTGTTAGGTAAATTACACACACATAATCACATTATAATATATATATATATATATATATATATATATAAATATACTTCCATTGGCTTTCCTGAACTCAGCCCTTCGACTGACTGAGAGTGTAAACTGATCGCATTCAGTAATAAGCTAAGCCATGAGAGCTATGCAATTACCATTCACCTTACTTGTTTTCTAAGGGAAGAGAATGCTTAGGAACTTCAAACTCTCCTGTGTCAATAGTACAGACAGGGAGCAGCACCAGATGAACTGCAGGCAAAGCATCAAACCATTCAAAGATGGAATAACTGTTTACAATGGGGGATGAGGCACTCTAAACACTATAACCACAATAGTGAGCAATATAGCTATAGTGACTATGGTGCTTGGAGTGTTCCTTTACATTTTAGATTGTTGTTCAAAGGGTCATTTAAAGCAGAATCAAAGAGAAAACACATTAAATGTAAACTTACACAAAATGTTTTGAGCTACTACGCACTAACAAGAAAAAAATTATATTGAGTAAATATAGTGTAGTATGTTGAAAAACTTAAGACGTGGTTGATGTGAGTTGTATAGACATGAGTGGTATGCGGGTGCGTGGCTTAAAACTTGCTGGTGTGACTTGCGCGTTTACAATAAACAATTAATAAACAAGTAGGTTGTTCGGCTAGCTGGTATGTCGTTATGAGATTAGTGAGTAACAAACTATCTGAGCTGCGGCCTATTAGGTGCTGTACATGCTAGTTATCAAGATGCAAGGAGAAAAAAACAATATCAAACACATTTAAGATGGGGACAGGCTGATAAAGGAGTTAAGTGTGAGCGGACTTGGCATTCGGGCTGGGTACAAATCTTGCCGTTATTGTTACGAGGGACCTATGAGCTTGCTATATTCAGTGATGACTGAGAGCCTACGGAATCAGATTCTAAAAGAAAATAAGACTGGATATATAGGCAACAGGCTTGTTACTAACAAAATAAAAAACCCTGAGATAGGAATCCCTAGAATGTGGCTGCCCTGTGTGAGGCGAGGTCCTTGCTAGACATGTCAGGCAATGAAGTGATTTATGCATTATATATGGAATTGTGCTGTAAAGAAGGCAACTGCCTAAATAAGCAAAGTGAAAAAAAAAAAAAAATTCAAGTGGGCCTTGCTGTTGGGAGTTCACCCTGGGGTGCGTAGCCGATGTCGGTTAATGGCAGGCCTGCCACTCTGCTGCCCAAACATTTTTTCCCCTCGCTGGTATTTAGTTGTGTAGTCGCGTGTATGAGTGTGCACCAGTGCAGTGTAGTCTTGTAGTTAGTGAGTGTGTGTGGGAGGTGCGGTCGATGGGAGTGCCTGGTGTATGATGAGATTGGGGCGCTAAGGTCGAGTCTTTCTAGCCAGATGTATGTTAGTAAATCCTACATGGCATATCACATTAGAGGTCGACATCGATAAGATAAAGTCAATCATATTAAATTAAAGTAGTCAAATCAAGGTGGGAACAAAGAGTAGGTATCAACAGTAGCTAAGTAGCAATAGGGTTAATAGTGATTAGGCATATTATTAGCATTTGTAAGCGTTAAACACAGTTCGGACCGTTATAAATAGGTTTTGTATTGACTGTCCTGACCGCGTCTGGGTGACACTTGGAGAGCGATTTGCAACATGTGTGGTGCCCTTGTTCGTGTCGTCTTGTCAGGTGTCCTGTGCAACTGCCTGTCGCAGTTCATGTGGTAACGGCAACGTATGGGTCGGGTGTGAGGCCTTGTGGTATGAACAGGACAATTCTGGTCGGGTCCCATCTGTGCTGCGTAGATACTGGGTTCTGGCTCTTCTGGCCTTTTGGGTTGAGGGAATCCATAGGTAGGCCCAATGATTGGAGGAGCGGTGCCGCATTGCACAAGTCCCGTACCTGATGCGAGTCTGTACCCTGCTGGACTGTCAGGGTGTGGGATGGTCGCCAGCGGTATCTGAGGCCTTTTTGGCGGAGAAGTATGGTAAGTGGCTGGAGGGTTCGTCTCCATGCCAAAGTGCTGTCGGAGAGGTCGGCTTAGAAACTCAGTGCCCTGTTATCAAATTGTAGGGGTGTCCTGCCCCGCAGGGCATCCAGTACTGCCGTTTTGTCAATTCCGGAAAGCAACTATGGCGTCCCTGGTGGTCCCTTTGGGGATCCTGAAAAGGTAGTCAGGGTGTATGTGATCTGCCTGTGCGGGTGGCAGTATTGTCGCGAGCAGGCGTTTGATGACCTGTGGTAGTTCTGCATCTGTTATTTCCTCCGGGAGTCCCCTAATTTTCTGTTTGTTATGCCGTCTGGCGTCTTCGTGCTCGGCCATGCGGTATTCGTGGGAACATTGTTGTATCTGCAGATCCTGCACAGTACGTTTGAGTTCCTCTATGTCCCCGGTATTTGTTTCGGTACGGTTCTCCATTGTATTTAGGTGGGTGGTCACCCCCTTTAGATCTCCCCTCAGTGCAGTGATGTCCTTGTGGATTTCCTCATGGTGATCCGCTAATAATTGCTTAAGGATCGCCACTGTCACTGGTGTGGAGTGCGGTGTGGTGTTGGTAGGTGGTGAGGGCTTTTCCGCCGCGTGGACTGGTAAGTATTCATCCCCTGAGAGGTCATCGGAGAAGTCCAAGCATCCCCCGTGGAGTGCCGCCATGTTGGCTTCGTTTGCGCCTCAGGCCTGCCTCCACATGTCTCCTATGGTGAGTCCCGGGTTGTTTTTCCCCGGGTTTGTTTTTTTCATTTTGCGTCCCATTTCGTTAGGGTGTATGCCGGAGGTTTCTGCTGTGGTTTAGGCGTAGTTAGTATGGGTATTTTTCGGGTTTTTCTCGTTTGTGCCTCGGAGCTCTGGAGTATTGCGGCCGCTCATCTCGGCTGTCAAGCTCCGCCACCAGTAGACACATCTTAAATAAATATAGTTTAAAGTACAATGGCAGGTGAAACCTGTCATGGCTGACCAACTAGAGCAGTGGTTCCCAACCAAGTTTTCAAAGTACCCCTAACAGTTCAGGATTTAGGGATTACCCTGTTGTGTCTGAGATGTTGTTTTTTTAAATTTTTATTCTATAAACACCTCAGACACAACTGGATTGGTAACCACTGCACTAGAAAAATATCCAACTGACATTCTAAAACAATATCTCTTTAAAACACGAATATCCTTGAAGCAGTGGCGGGACTATATGGGGCCTCCCGCAGTACTTCAGGGCCGCTGCCCAGCCACACCTGCCCAAGGCTCACGTTCGGCTAGTGACCGCCAGGAGCAGAGCACACAGCACAGAGGGGATGTGGTAGAGAAACATGGAGGTACTAGGGAAGGGAGGTGGGAGAGAATCATAAAGGGGCTGGGGAGGGGAAGGGGTTGAGAAACACATTGAGGGGAGGGAAGAGAGAAAAACATGGAGGGGCTGAGAGAAACACATGGGGGCTTGGGGGTAGAATGAGACACATGGAGGGGTGAAGAGGGAGTGAGACATAGAGGGAGTGAGAGAGACACATTAAGGAGCTGGGGGATGGGACACGTGGAGGGTTTGGTGTGGGATGAGAAATGTGGAGTGGCTGAGGGCATTGGCGTAACTAGAAACCACGGGCACCAGGTGCAAAAAATTGCCCTGGGACCCCTCTGTATGTCAACCCCCCCACCACCCTCCTCCCATACGTCTGCCGTCCGCCTCCTAAATGTTATCCCTCCCCCCCCTGCAAACAGATACACATGTAGACACACACATACAGGCACACAGATAAAAACACAGAAACACATACATACAGATACAGACAGACACACAGACATATATACATACAGACACACAGACAGAAACACACAGACACACACATACACACACAGACATACCCAGTTCTACCACATTACTTAGCTGGTGGGATCTACGATAGCAGGGGTCCGCAGGGCCGCCGGGCCCCCTGGAGTGACGAGCTTGGTCGCAGCTGTGACCCCTGCAACCGCGGTAGTTCTGCCACTGACTGGGTGGTTGAATGAGACACGTGGATGGACTGTGGGGGGAGAATGAGACAGGTGGAGGAGCTAGGGGGTGAGACAATCTAAAGGGGCTAATGGGGGGAATGAGACATGTGGAGGCCCTGGGGGGGAGAAGAAACA